AAAAAATCCTCTACCGGTTTAAAGATACCTAGACAGGCCTGGCTATGTTTTATGTGGCAAGTCAAAAGGAACAAAGAGGCCTGCTGTTTCTTGCATTCTCAAGCTTTCTTACAGCTATTAACATAATCTAATGTATTAGATTTGGAGCAACAAATATCAGCATGAGGCTGGAATATCTTGTCATATTTCATGACTGGCTCTTTGTTCCCTAGGCTTGAGTGAAAAAGAAGTAAAGATATATTATTTGACTACCATTTCTCACCATGAAGGAGGTATACTGCACTGGCTTTGTTCAAATCATAGACGGTAAAAGTCAAAAGAGATGACCTTGTCTACCCCTCTCATTTACAGATAAGAAACTAGTGGTCACTGGTCAATGACTTGCCAAAGGCCATACAACTAGGCCATACAACTAGGCAGAATGGGAGACGGAATTAAATCCCAGGATTCTTCCTTCCTGCTGCTGCTCTGCTCCAACAATTATCTGGCAGCTGATGGAGATGGGGCAGGGTGAGGTGAAGGATGGTATCTAGCTATAAGCCCAGCCTAGTTTACAGAGCTATAGCCTCTGAGGGCATCCCAACTAGCTCCTACTTCTTCCTGGGCAAGTAGCCACCCTTGCACCCAGCTTCTACGTATATTTCACCTGTCAAACGGAAGAGTGAACAACAGAAATGTGAATGGAGGATTTTCCTGACAAAGGCTCTACAATTGCAACAATACTGCGTAAATCCAGTGGTGAAACCATTTTCAAATATGCATTACTCTTGAAACAATTACATCCTGGTCACACCTCAAATAGCTAAGGGCTGTATGTTTTATTTCTGGATACCAGTTTGTAGGGAACAAAACCCCAGGCAAACCTTCCTACTTGCATAAGCAACAACATGCCCACAAAGCACTTTTCTGAATCTATGAAAATCTGACTTACAAACTAGCTGGCAGGCAATACAACTACAGTGAGTGTAAATTCAAATGCAAACAGGTTTTTTTTTTCTTTTAATAAATTTGTTTGAAAAATAATGTTCAGACATGTGGTATTAGCTCTACACAAAATTATCTCACTGTTCAATATGAGAACCCTGAAGTTTGAAGAACAGAAGAAACATACTTTAAAAAAAAGTAGGCCGTTTTCCATCACTCAGGTTTATCATCACTGTTACTACCCTATTAATTACCAGTTTAACTCTTATCATTACAAAGGACTTTCATTTACCTCACAGTGTTATTTCTCCATTTTCCAGATAAGGAAACTGAAGCTTAAAAAGTTAAAAAGCTGGGGATTCCCCTGGTGGCGCAGCAGTTGAGCGCTGGACTGCGAAGCTGCCCCCAGCCTCTGCAGTGCCAGTTCGATCCCTGGCCACTGGGCAAGGGTCCCACATGGAGCTCAGACCTCTCCTGCCGCCCGCTGCTCCCCTCAGCAGTGTATTTCATCGTTCTGTCTGTTCTGTTCCCTGCTCTGGCTCTGGTGAATTCTCTCACCCTCCCGCGCTTCTAACTGTACCCAGTGCTTGTATAAAATAAATAAATAAATCTTTAAAAAAAAAAAAAAAGTTAAAAAGCTTAGCCCTGAGTCCCAAAGCTAATAAATAAACAGGCCTCATTTTTCTACAATAGCAAGAACTTTTTAAAGACCATTCTGCTTCAATCACTTTTTAAATTACATAGAATTACATAGAGACTGCTTGGCATTTAAAAAAAAAAAAAAAACAAACACAGAAAATGGAAGTTTTTTTTTTTTACTTCTCAAATTCAAAGGCAATATTCATAGCACACTTTCTGATTCTAGACATTGCACTAACAGTCCCCTTCCTTCTCACTCTACATTTTGCTTCTTGTCTATTTCACTGTGAATGCATACAAAGTATGAATGTATGCACAACACAACCATTTTCAAATTATGGCTAACACATTTTGATTCTTAAAACTACTTCTGATATCCTCCAAAGAAAATGCATTTTTACTGACAGGTGACCCTTTAGTCACTTGTAAGACATGTTTCTCTCTTAAGCTATAAATTTCATGGGGCACACACGTCTGTGAGTTTTTGCTCCTTGCTACAACTTATTTAGTACTCAAAAGGTCTACTAGAAATGCAGGAAACAATTGCAATTTCCTTAGAGAAGGATTTTTTCCCACATTTTGGGCTGGATAACTCTTTGTTAGGGAGCTATCCCATGCACTGTAGGCTGTTACAGTAGTTCTGGGGTCCATTAAACAAACAGCACACCTCTACCCTTCAATGTGAATTCCAAAAATCATCTGGGACATTGTCAAATATCCCCTTAAGAGGAAAATTATCCCCAGTTGAAAACCACTGCCTTAGACTAGTCAAGTACTCTAATTAAGAAGTATCAATTAAGTTTACCAATGATTCCCAAATTATAAGATCAATTGCGAAAATTTTTTACAAGTTGAATTCTTTCCTTTCTGAAGATGTGGAATTTGAATATGAAAAAAATCAAACTCAATGATATATAAACCTTAGTTGCTATATAGTTTTCAAGTAAGATTATATAGAATGCTCTTCATAAATATATGCTACTTTAATAAATTAACTGAATATTCCTACTTGTTTGGCATCAAAAGCTTAAGATAAATTTCTTCAGGAATATTTTCAAAGAATAGGAATAGACAACTCACATATTTTCTCATTCCATTGTAATGGGGGAAGTAAGTGTAAAGCTCATGACTTCTGGTTCCCTTTACCACAAAAATGAAAGGCAGCAAAACTTTCATTTTTGAAAGTTTGAAACAGAGATGTGGGTTGATAAACCCAAGGGATTTCCTGATTGGACTTCCACTAGATAACATTTCTAAAAGAAATGAGTTTATTTGTGTAAGCCTATTATAAAGTTGATGTTGGCAACTGGAACAATACCTTATACGTTAAAAAAAAAAATGTACAAAAATGTGATACCCTGTACTTCACCAAATATAGGGGGAGAAATGACATAAAATTATGGCATTTTAATTTCAAATATAAAAAGTTTCAAAATCCTCAGGCAGTGTATTTCATAATTTCACAGTAAAAACATTTACAATTAGAATCACAGAGTATTGGTGCTGGAAGGATCTTTAGATGTTACCTAGTCCAGCTCCTAATTTTAACAAACAAGAAGAAACAAAATAAGGTTTGGTAGGGAAGGAAGAGTCAAAAGTATCCATGAACTTAACATCTTTAAAAAAAAAAAAAAAAAAAAAAACCTGAGATTTAAATAGGACACAATAATATGAATGATTTTAAGTAGTGATTACCCGGGGAATTACTACCTGCCATGATTCTTTTCCATTAAATTTAAATTAAAATGAAGATTAAGGTACAGTAAGGTAAATGGCTTGTCCAATCAACCATCTATCTATAGCGCAGGTCTCCTAAATGCTAGCCCAGTGTCTTTCAGGCTTCAAATACTGCTTACAAACTAAAAGGAATAATGTATAGTATTGGGAGTATCCTGAAGAAACATTTGACCCCTGCAGAAGGCCCTTAACATTTCCATCTTTATTCTCTATCTTGCATTATACTTCAGTGTGGAGCAAGGGCACATAAACAAAATATGTATTACAGGGCAAAGCACACTGAACCAGTCAAATAACTATAACCTATTAAAAGCAGGCTCCTCCACAACTTAGGGTCACATTCCCAGTTTCATAACATCATCTAATATAAACACATGGTCCGCATCTATAATTATAAATTTTAGCAGTCAGATTTTATTTTTGAAACGTAAAAAGAAACGGGAAATTAATTTTAACTTTGCATTTTATTTAACCCAAATATTCAAATATTACTTCCACATGAAATCAACATAAAAATTATTTGGTTATTACTCTTTCTCCTACTAAGTATATTCAAAACTCAGTCTGCATTTTTGTCTCAATTCGTACTAACTACATTTCAAGTGTTCAATAGCCACAGTGGCTAGAGGCTATCCTATGGGGCACCGCAGGTCTACAACTATTTGTTAAGTGAATTAAAACTAAACCAATGTGACCTCAATTGAAATAAAGAAGCAGCTCCATCCATTTGGGTTGTTCTTTGGATTTTTCTCTCCAAAAAATGACAATATTTTCCATAAGTCTTTTGTAAAATAAGTATCCACAATGACCTAAGAGCGTAACAAGCAATCAGTGCAAAAAAAAACATTAAGCTTTGTGAAGAGTGTGCAAGCATACCATTTACTGTCTACTTTTATATTATCTCTAGGATAGAAAAGTTGGCGTCAAATTCGGGCTTGCAACCAAGCAGATACCTAACTAGAGATGATGCTGGTTGTGGCTTGAATTTCTTTCTCTTGCTCCAAAATAAAACTGAAAGTCTTAATGAGGGAGGGCACTTTTAATTAAGGAAAGAAAACACCTTCTCAGAAGTTGAAAGTGGGAAGAGTAAGAATCCCTACTTGACAGGCCTTTCATAATCATCTTCTCCTGCAGCGCCCTCACCAAACCCTCCCAGTCAGCTATGATAAGCCAAAAAAGATAACTGCGAAACCCAATTTCGTTTTTCTTTTCCTCGTTGCCACTTTATTTGATCGTGTGCGACCACGCATAGATCCTCACTCCAAGTAGAGCGGCAGCAAAAGGGCTTTTGAGGGGTTTTGTTTGTTTGTTTGGGGGGTTTGTTTGTTTGTTTTGATGCTGTGGAGCAAAAAGGGTGACGCTGAGAGCAGAGAGGACCCCAAGGCGGGCAGCGGGGGGCACGGCTAGGGACCTGACCTCAGGGGCGGAAGGCGGCAACTCGGGCAGCACCGGGGTGAGCCTGCGGCATCTCCCCACCCTGGGCCGGCACCCCGGGCCCCAAAGGCGGAGGAGGCGGGCACGGCCCAGCCGACGCCCTACACCTGCCACCCAAGGAGGGGGCCCACCGGGCGCCCGCCCCGGAGGCGGAGTCTCGGGAGGCGAAGGAAGCAGGGCCCGGGCAGGAGCCGCGGCGGGAAGAGCCGGCGACGCGGGCCCCTCAGCCCGCGTCCGCAGCCCGCCGGCCGCGCCCTCTAGCTTACCGCCCCAGATCCCCAGCTTGAGCTGGGACTTGTTCAGGTTCTCCACATAGTCCCCCAGGAAGCGGTTCAGCAGGTCCGCGACCACCGACTCCAGCACCATGGTTGGGGCTGAGGCGGCGGGAGAGGGAGGAGCCGGAACCGCCGGGCGCAGCTGAGGGCGGCGACCCGCGCCGCGAATGACAGCCCCCCGGGCGCCGGCCCGCCCCCGCGCCGCGCGCGTGACCGGCCTGTGCGCAGGCGCGCCGCCGCCGCCAGGGGCCCGGACGTGCGCGGTCCGCGCCGCAGCCGCGCGGGCCTGTGGCTTCCCGGTTGTGGGCCTCCGCAGCCCTACGCTCGGCCCGCCTGAGGCGAGGCGAGACGAGTGAAAAGGAGAAAGGGAAGGCAGGGGTTAGAGCGCAGGGACGTCTCTGCGGCCACTCGGGGCCGCAGAGCTCGGTGGTCCTGAGCGAAGCAGCCCGGAGGCGCCGGGTCCTGCCCCACCCGCTGGGAGTCAGGCACTTTCTAGGCTTTGAGTCCAACATGGGCGCCCCCCAAGCGGTCACCCCTTCACCTGTGGGTCAGGTGAGGAAAAAGAGACCCTGCGTCCTTGTTCTGCGTTATTTCAACTCCGCCAGGGGCCAGTTGCTTATTAAAACATACTTGAATAATTTTAAAGTGGGAGGAGGGAGAATAGAACCTCATCATAAGAGGGCAGGTAGAATGAGACCTGAATGTGCATTTTGTTGTGAACTCGTTCTTTTTCTCTCCTATGTGCTTGATTTGCTTAGTTCTGAGGAGGACTTCAGTATGAAAATAACGTATAATGTAAGGACTCTGTCTTAGTGAAACTTAACCACACATTGACAAGCCAATTTTCTTTAGAGAACTGGACTTTTTTTTTTTCAATATAGTTCAAAAAGCAGTGAAATGTAGTAAGTAAAAATAAAAGTGAAAATGCTGAGATTATATGCATATATAATGCATATATGGTCTGAAAAAGTATACATGAGTTGCTATTAAACAACTGCTATGGACCTAATGTTTGTGACACCCGACCTCACTCCCCCACTACTGTGTTGAAATCCTAATCCCCAGTATGGCGGTATTCCGAGCATTCATAAAAGCAATTGGCACACTTGTAGAAGAGACCACACAGCGCTGCTTCCTTACCCCTTCTGCCATGTGGGAATGTAGCATGATGGCCATTGATGAGCTAAGAATTGATGCCTTATCAGACACTGCATCTTCTTGCACTTTGATCTTTTGATATCCCAGGCTACACAACTGTGAGAAAGAAAGTTGTTTTGTTAGGGGGAAAAGGATGTCCTAAAGCTAATTCCATACAGTCTTTGTGGACTCCACCCCCACTCCAGACCAAAGCCATCAGGACATTGGGAAATACAAATCCCATCACCACCAAAGGGAAGGTTGCTGGAACCTGAGGGTGGGGTTAAGCAGCCAGGTTTGGTATAAAACCAGATACGTGGGCTTTGGGGGGCCCCCTTCGGCTCCTCTCTGCCAGCTCCTAGCGCCCGCCAGCTCTCAGAGTGCCATTGGGTTTCCAGGTCGGCAGATCGGGTAGGACGCATTTAAGACTTTATTTCTCTATTTTCTCCCTGAGTTGTACGTTTCCTCATTTCCCTTTCCCTTGTAAATAAACCTTTTATTAACCTTTTGTGTGTGCTTGCAGTGGAGTATTAATAAGTCCCTTTTAAGCGCACAGGCGAGGACCCACAGCTAGGCAACCCATTTTGTATTGGGGCTGCTCCGTAACAGTTTTAAAACCATTCCTGTGATGGTTTGTTATTGTGGTCTGAACAGACTAAGAAGACCATCTGCCTTACACAGAATCAAAAAAAAAAATCATTTTTTAAAATTTTAATTCCATTGGAGAAAGAAAAAAGTCTAGAACTGGTGTGTAAACTGGATATAAAAGAAAGATAAAATTATTATTGACAAATAATGTAGGCTCCCATCCGCCACTCCTGTACCAAGAAAATAAAACCTCAGCCATATGTTTTTCCAGGCTCAGTTACCCGACAAAATGCCTAGGAGGCCCTTTGGACTTCTTTCATCATCCACAACCAATTAACAGCCATACTTTTCTAGTCTACTGTTTCCATATTTCCTAAATTCTCCTTACATCTCACCAGGGCCAAGCAATCACCTTCTAACCAGTCTCCTGGACTCATATTTTTCCCCTCACCATAGCTACACACTGCCACAGGGATCTAGCTTTCCAATGCACAGGTGAGCTCAGGTTATCCACCTGCTGAAAAACACCCAATAACTCCAGTGTTCAAAAACTCTCAGTCTACCCCAAATTGCTTCTCGTGCTTCCAACAATCCCCCTTGTATACTCACATCATTGATACATGGAGGAAAATGCAAATATATATAATATATATATATATATATATATAAAATGCATGTTGTGGTTGGACTATGTACCATAAAAAGTTAAGGGTATATAATAACAGTGCAAGAAGATATGAAAGATGCCACAGAGTAGTGTGGTAAAACAAAGGGAACAGAGATAGTAACCTAGTGAGTAATATGGACAATGCCAAACTTTGTGTAATAATAATTCCTTGCGCTTCTACAGTAGTTTACAGTTTTTGAAGAATAATGCATATGTCAGGGCCTCCCTCATGGCCCAGGGATTAAAGTCTCAGCACTATCAAGCCATTGAAAGCCACTGCAGCATGAGATTGATCCCCCACTGGGGAGCTAACCCACATGGTACAGCAGACCTCTCCTGTCTTGCCCACTGCTCCCTCAACAGTGTATTTCAGTGAATCTGCTTGTTCTGCTCTCCAATCTGTCTCTGGTGAATCCTCTCACAGCAACCCACACCTCTGGCCTACACCCCAGTTCTTATATGTGTAAGTAAATAAAGATAAATCTTTTTTAAAAAAGAATAATGCCTATGCATGCTTTTACATTGTACAATTAAGTACAATGAGAAGGACAACAAAGACAACTGCAGAACTACAGAGGGATTGAGCAATAAAAACAGATGAGCAAAATATTTCTGTTAAAAATCAAAATGAGGCACAGCTAAAAAATGGTCAACTGTTGCTTAAAAATTGAAAACTAATTAATTATAATTTCACACATCACATTCTCCACCCTTGGTGTTTGTTGAGAAAAGCAAAAGAGATATGGGTGTGGGGGTGGAAGGAAGGAAATGAAAGAGCAAGCGAGAAAATAAGCATGGCACCATAGACTCTCAGGAAAGTTAACTGGGAGAAAGCATGGAAGTGGATTGCAAGATGTTAGAGTCAGAAGGAAAATATCAGGTAAACCCAGCCTCCTCATTTGACAGATGGAGACACTGAATGCAGAGAGAATTAAAGGCTATGTCAAAGTCTCACAAGTTTAGTAACTATCGGCAATAAAACCCAAGTGTCTTGATTCCCTAGTCTGTGCTTTTTCCATGATTCCATACTCTAGTTGTAGTCAATGAGATGGATGAGCCAGACTGCCCATATTATATTTGCTTGCCAACTCTTATTTTTCCTTGACATCCAACCTCCTGTAGGCAGGCATGCAGTGCATAAGAACATCTTGGTCAAAGAAGGAACACATATGCAACAGTGGTCCTTGTGTATAGTCTAGGTGTGTAGTAGGCTAAACCATCTGGACTCGTGTAGTTATACTCTGTGACATTCACACAATAACAAAATCACCTAATGACATGTTTCTCAGACTATTCCCACATCATTAAACAGTGCATGACTATTAGTTAAGTCTGCTTCAAGTTGTTCAGTTTCCTTCTCCTTCCAGAGCATGTCTGGCCATGATGGTGTGTGATCTTCTGATGCTTACTTCATAGAATTGTTTTCCAGCTCCATTACTGGTCCTGTTACACCATCCTCCTAAATAGTGCATGACTCATACTTCCGACGTAAGTAAAACATAAGGTTTAATATGGTCACGGGGGACCAGCTGTGCCAGGCTAAGTCTCTCCTGTTTTCAAGAAATCTTATACAGGAAATGCTTAAGTGTTATTGGAGAAGATGAATTGTTAATAAAAACAAAGCAAATCTGCTTTGATTGGCCAAGAAGAGAAATGTTTTTAAAGAGGTCAATGTATGAATCAGCTAATCCTTGGCTAGGAAGAACTGTGTAATAAGAAACAGGTAGCAGTTAGTCAGCATTTATTGTGTACCAGGCATTTTATACATTTTTAATTCTCACACCAATCTCATATGATAGATATTATTAGCTGCATATTATATCTTGGGCTCAAAGAAGTTAATTAACTTGCCCACAGCTCCATATCTAAAATGTTACAGATCAGATTTGAAACTGGGACAGATTCAGTCTAAAGTCTGTATTTCTTCACCCCTAAATAATTTCTCATGCCCTAGTCCTTTTTTTCCTTTCTCTACCACACAGACCTTGTTAACAACTTCTCAGCTAATTTCTCAGATTGTGAGACTCACCATTTTAACCAAGGAATCTCTAGACTTTGACTTGCAGAGCTAAATGCATCTTGTTTCCTGAGAAAAGCTGAGTCAAAATACATGCACATGACCACCAAGTATATAATCTGGCAATCATTCTCCCATAGCACTGGCCCAAGAATTTTGTATAGGATCAGAGATGATATAAAGACAAAACAGTAGGTAATCAAGGATATGGTAAACCCAGGGACCCAACAACCCTACCCTTCCCCCCAAGGATGTAGACAGATAGATAGATAGAGATAGAGATAGATAAAGTGTCTAGCAGTCTTTTCTCACTCCTGCCTCAGCCAGATGGAATATTCTATCCACATTATTTCATTCCTCATATAATAGATGTGCAGTTTATATGCTCTTGTACAGCCTAGACCCACCCACCTAGCATTGTGGCTGAAACCCAGGAAACATTCAGTCAATATTACTTTGAATGAATAAATGAACTAATGTACACTTTTTTCTATAATGACTATAAATATAATATCTGACATTATGACAGGGTCTGTGCTAAGATCTTCATAGCATTATCTTATTATACACTAAGGAAAAGTTAGAAGTAGATACTATTATTATCAGAAGAGGAACACCAGCTCTCCACAATCTCCCAAATCTCCTGGTTCAAGAATCCCATTACTTCTCAAAGTTGCAACCCCCTAAATTTTACATTTGATACTGTGCTTTAAAAACATTAAGGAGGGTCTCCCCTGGTGGTGCAGCAGTTGAGCGCTGGGTTGCGAAGCTGCCTGCAGCCTCTGTAGCGCCGGTTCGATCCCCGGCTGCTCCCCGGCCACCAGAGGAGGGTCCCACATGGCGCGCAGACCTCTCCTGCCGCCCGCTGCTCCCCTCAGCAGTGTGCTTCGGTCCTTCTGCCTGCTCTGCTCCCTGCTCTGGCTCTGGTGAATTCTCTCACCCTCCTGCGCTTCTGACTGTACCCAGTGCTTGTATAAATAAATAAACAAACAAATAAATAAATCTTTAAAAAAAAAAATTAAGGAAACTTGCTTAAGGTCATATAGCAATCTGACATCCTGAAATCAAGACTGAGCCTGATTTCAGATTATTTTAACCATTACATTATACAACCTCCTTTCTATAATATATAGCATTATTTTATGTTATATAATTATAACAAATTATAACATTTATGTTATATACATATAACACTGTTATATAAAACACATTATATTTGTATTAATAATATATTTGTATTAATCACTTTCTATGCTTTTGGCACATACGTCAAGCACAGTACTAAGTATTTTACATTATTAGATTCATTTAATCCCCCAAACAACTCATTTATGTCCACTAATATGTATTATTTCCTCCATTTTCCATCACTAGGTGAACTTGGATAAGTTACTAGGAGTAATAGTTTGCAGGATTTATGTAACAATTCTAGACTATATTAAGTCATCAAGCACAGTGTTTGTGTATTTATATCTTGAAAAGGAAATGCACATCTCCTCCCCACCACCCCCCATCACCTTTGCATGAAATCAATTTAATTTGTTAAACAGTATCTGGAGAGGAAATTAATTTACAAGGCAGTGTCTTAGGCAGAAACAGCAGGTTTCCAAAAGCTGAACAAAAATGCCTCATCTCCTTCCACCTAGCTGGATGCAGCTCTTACAGAATGAATGCAAATCAGTTTTCAAAAGGAAAGTATAGGATCTCTCAGGTAAGTACCATCTAGGAAGGACAGATGTGGTCAGGGTGCCCCCAATCAATGGTTCCAAAAACCCAAGTTGTATGCAGCAGTCTATTTCCCCTGATGAAAAATCAAGACTTACGACTTAAGAAGCTGGTTGTTATTTCTTTTTGTGAGACATTAGATACACACAAATTTAAATGCAATTCTTAAATGTATGCTAGATGATAGTTTTTACATAAGATATGCTCCTGTAACCCTGCCAAGATCAAGAAATGGAATATTACCAGCACTCCATAAGCCGCTCCCTACCCAGAGGAGTTTAAAAACAGCAAAGAAAAAAACTTCAAAATTAAAACTGAAAACCAGAAAGCGGGCAAGGAACTTCAAAAAGGTAGGCAACCAAGCCTAGATTTGCTAGAGGCTACTAGGTAAGAATAAAACAAATCCGACTCTTCCTCTTTTTTTAATGGTGGGTGAAGAAGCCAGGAGCTTCTGTGCATTCACGTTCATTCTGTCCGTCAATCCTCACAAGGACTCCTCACAAGGACTCTGCTCTATAGTCCTGACTCCTTTGCACGTGAGGAAACTGAAACATGTTCAGAATTTCCGGAGATAACGTCCCCCGCCCAAAGGAGAGAAATAACTGGATCTCTTAAGTTTGCTTTGCTATCCAGCCACGTGGCAAGGGGGAAGGCCCGGCATCAGGTTACCAAGCAGCACAGCTGACACTCCACCATTGGCCAACTTTGCAGACCGCAGGTATAAAAGCTCCCGCTGCTGTATTTGTGCTGAACCCAGCGCGTTCGCTTTGAACTTCCCAGAGCCTTCGCCCTTCTCCCAATGGGTACCCCAAGCGTAATGGCACTGAGACCCATCTGACTCCGGATCCAGGTACCACAGGAGGGACCCACAACCTTGTTTAATACCCGCGGGGAGTCGCCTGAGGATATTTGTGCCTAAAAGAGAAGAGCAAGCTGGAGTGTTCAGGAGGGAATAATATTGAATAGTTATTACAGAATGTTAATTTTCTCTGAGGACTAGAGTGCATTCATCCAGGTTTCAAGTATTCAAGAAACGATTGTACAAGCAAAGCGCCGTTGGGCACCAAGGACCAAAGTTGGAGAGCAACATTTTGAGAATCTCAGCCATAGGCCAACCAGGACGGATCTAGATGAAAGTAATAAGCCCCACAATGTACATGTAAGAGGCTACACAAGAAAAGATTGTTTTCCGATCACTGAAACATACTTTGCAATGGCAGAGTGAGGGGCAGTCCCGGAGGAAGAAGTACCTCGAAAGAAGAACACAGACAGGAATTGCTGCGCCCTGCAGGGCTCACTCTGACCATCGGTGTGCACTTGTGTATTGCCACCCCATCAGCTCCAGCGGAGGGTCAGCCAGAACAGACATCTACCACCTGATGTGGTTCCTGGAGCGGCTCCGTTTGGATCCCGAGCGCCTCCTGCGGGGCGGAAACGGGCTTTTCCAAGGTCGGGGCAGCAGAACCACGGCGGTCACACCCGCCACTTGCACAAACGTGCTCACCCCGGACCGCATCCCGGAGTTCTGCATTCCCCCACGACTCGCGCCCTGCTCGGCCCCGGCTGCACTCCCGGACTCTTGGGGCGAAGAAGCAGGGACCGACCACGGCGCCGGGAGCACCGACTGGGACCCGCGCTCGCAGGCCGCGCTCTCGCTGCCGCACCTGCCCCGCGCGCGCACCGCCTACGGCTTCTGCGCGCTGCTCGAGAGCCCGCACACCCGCCGCAAGGAGTCGCTCTTCCTCGGCAGCCCCGGCGCCGCCGCCCTCCTGCGCGCGCCCGCCGCCCCGGCCGCGCCGCGCCCCCGCGCCCACACCTACAGCGGCGGCGACGCCCCGGGCCGGCCCCCGAGCGGGGCCCCCGCCGCCCCCGCCGGCGGCCCCCGCCCGCTCCGGGACCCGCTCGCGCCTGCGCCCCGCGGCCGCCGCCTCCTGCGCGCCCCCGAGGGGCTGCTGAGCCGCGCGCGGCGGGCCCGGAGGAGCCTCGGCCTGGCTCGCGCGCGCTCCGTCTCCAGCGGAGACGAGGACGAGGCGCCCCCGGCCCCTCCGCGTGCCCGCCGCCGGCCCCCGCCGCGCTGCCCGAGCTCCTGGAGGCCGAGGGCACCGTGCCTCTGGGCCGCGCCGGGGGAGCCCTGCGCCTGGCCCTGCAGTACAGTCCGGCCGGCGGCCGCCTGCGCGTCCGGCTGCTCGGCGCGGAGGGCCCGGCCGGAGGCAGCGCCGAGCCCCGCGCCGCCGGCTGCCGCGTCAGCTTCGTCCTGCAGCCGCCGGGCAAGACGCGCCGGCAGCGCGGCGCCGTGGTCCTGCGGAGCCGCAAGGCCGTCCTGGACCAGGACTTGTGCTTGGACGGGCTCTCGGAGGACGAAGTGCGCCGCCTGGCCGTGCGCGTCAAAGCGGAGCACGCGGGCCGCGGCCTGGAGCGGGGCGAGCTGCACTTGGGCTCCCTCCTGCTCCCCTGAGGACCCGGGTGCTGCCCTCGGGGCGCTCCCGTCGGGGCGCGTTCTGCCCGCTGGCCACTCGCCCAACTACAGCTGCTATGTACAAAATAAACGTGTATTTATTCTTCTTTTTGGCCTCTCTTTCAGTTCGTTAGCAGAGATCGTCCTGAATTAATATCACAGTAAACGATGTAATATTTTGTGTGGATTCTTTTAACTTTCCCCCCCAACAAATGGCATGGTGTTCTGCAGTAGTGTTTCCTGTATAGTAGCCCATTACATTTCATATGTTCCCCCGAAGTTCCTATTGGGCAATAAGGACTCACAGAAGCGTAAAAAGTGGAGGGTGTCTTGGAATTGTGTTTGATCCAATCTCCTTATTTAGAAGTTTATTCAGCCCACAACATTCATCCAGACCATCTTAGAGCACACATAATTTTGATGCATGTTTAACACTTTGGATAAGAAAAAGAGACTAGAAGAGATGAAGTGTCTTGTCCAAGTGAATTATTAGCAACTTCACTCTGATACTCTTGGCTACATCTTGCTGGGAAAGTACTGAAGAAATAGAATGTGAACGTTCTAAGCTAAAATTATCATAATTTTACAGACACTACTTTGTTAAATTCTCAAAACAAGACTTCAAAGTGGGTCCAGCCATTGTTTTACACATGAGAAGACGGAGGCACCCAATAAAGAGCAGTCAGGACTTGCGCCCAGGCAGTCAGTACCTCAGTCACTCTAATTAACGCCAGTGTCTGAAGCACTCCTCTCATTAATGTCGTGAGACTGCACCTTGTATCTGAAGTGGTTGACTCTGGGGATGGGGTCTTCTCTCATTTCTTCACCTTCCAGTGGGAAAGCAAATTGGTTGAAACCAAGTAATTTGTTGTGGATATTGATAACTTCAAGACCTGAGATGAACTAGGCTCGAAGTTCTGTTTTAAAAAGAAGCTAAGTAGTTTCAGAGTCCCAGAAAAGGCACCAGCTGAGCTAGCACACCAGGGCAGGGACCCAAGAGTGTACTGAGACATTGTTCTACCTCTGGCTTCTGATGGTAATAACATGAGTATTCTGTTTTAAAGAATAATTTTCCTTTACCCCTCACATTCACTGTCTGCCAGCTACAAGTCTTCCTTTCTGTGCACATAGAAGAAATATGTGTCCTAAATGAGGGCTGAAAAACATGTAAATATGTAGTATGGTGTCAAATAAGACTGTATTATCAGTCTGGATTCAGAAGTGGTTTCTGTTTTCATTAAACGGTTGACAATTTTATCCATTGGTGTTCATGAAAAATGCTATTTAGAAAAGAGTTTGTTTCAGTAACAACTTAACCATAAACTGAGAATGGGTTATTGCAGTGGGTATTTACAATGACAACCATTGAACAAATGTGAAGAATAACTGAATTCATTCACTGTCAATATCAACCATATCAAGAAGCTCCAAGTGGCTGACCAAATGAAGGATGACATAACAGTAGCTGAGATCTATCACCTCCTCTTCCACCCACTCAAGGCACCATTTCCTTAGTTTTCAAGTCAACCATTTTTTTAAACTATAAACTTCTTCATGATTTTAGAATTTGATAGTATAACCAATATTGAATTTCATATATAGTACTTTAATATAGTATTGAGCACATATATAGAAATTTAAATGGAGAGTGAAAATTTGGCTATATATGAAATATCAGTGTGGAGTTTTCTTCTTTTTTTTTTTTTTAAGATTTATTTATTTATTTATACAAGCACCGTGTACAGTCAGAAGCACAGGAGGGTGAGAGAATCCACCAGAGCCAAAGGGGAGAGCAGAGCAGGCAGACTGATGGAAGTACACTGCTGAGGGGAGCAGCGGGCGGCAGGAGAGGTCTGCTTGCCATGTGGGACCCTCACCGGTGGCCGGGGATCGAACAGGCGCTGCAGAGGCTGCAGGCCGCTTAGCAACCCAGCGCTCAACAGCTGCGCCACCGGGGAGGCCCGGTTTTCTATTTTTTAATGAAAACCAATCACATTGATAGTTTAAATAATAAAAACTCTTACAGAAAATATTGTAATCACCACTGTTACTAGATTACAAATGAGCAATAAGCGAAAGTGTCATTTTATTAAGTAGATTTTTCCAAGAAGGGAAACTAATGAATTTCATGGCCTAATTTTCTATGAATTACCTGTATTTCCAAACGGAATCTTCATTAGTGTCAAGTCACACATGATTAAATAGATCAATCTGATCAAGAAGATTTTTTTAACAAGACTTTTAGCTGACTGAAAGAATCTTAAATCATAAAATCATGGAATTTTAGAGTTAAAAATAAATTTAAGAATCATTTTGTGCAAATCCATGTATTACAGAAGAAGGTCAGAGAAGTAAATTGTAGCTTGTCCCAAACCACAATTAGTGAAAGAGCTGGGACTAGGACCAGTTCTATTCTCACTTTGCTGCTAAAGCTAATGAGCATTTGGACCACTACTTCCAAGAAAGGTGAAATATTTTGTGCATGATTATTTTACATCATTGAGCGAATTCTAATTTTTGGCACTTGAGAAAACTTATTTGCAAAACAAAATTTTTGTGCTCTAACATCAGCCTTTCAGGGGGCAAATTTAAATTTGATTTGCACTTTGCTGCCCTCTAGTGGACCCTTCGTGTGATTTGTCAGTGCATTTATATTTTTAGCTGTGGACCGTCTTGGCTATTTAAAAACCAATCCAAGGCTAGAATCCAATCATCTTCAGTATGTTCTTATCAGATGATATAGTGTACACTCACATCACAAAAATAACTCACTACAGTTATGTGTGTGTAGAAAATGCCAAAAAGTGTTTTGCATTTAAAAAAGGAAAAGAAAAATATTTCCCAGTAATAGTGAAGCTAGGGTATGTGGCAATGGCTTGTTGGTTGCAGAAAATTGCTTTTAAAACCCTCATGTTTCTCACTGGGCTTTAAGCATTCACATATTTTCCACAAATGACATGTCATGACCTTGCCTCTTTCTGGTTAAAATATCTGAACGCATTCAAAGAAAAGCCTTACATAACACACAGACACTATGCCAGTTTAAACAATGTTAAGTACAAATCGAAAAAATGAAGTTATGTCACTTGGTTTTATAAAGACAGTGCATTTTACACCTAATATACTTTAGATAATTTCTTTAGCATTTAATTTTCTTTTACACACAATTTCACAATTCACAAATGTTTCCCCATTTCCATTCCCAGTACTTAAGCCAAAATACTAGATTTGGTCAAAGATATTTGAAAGAAAGAGCAAAAAATGGGTACTATGATATCAAATCATTAAGTGTACACACACACACACACACGGATAAAAAAGCACTCAAAAAGTTCACTTAGAATATCTGTTTTGGGGCAAATGCTATCATTAATTTTCAGTCCAGCTTTTTTCTGTTTGTAAGAATGAAGTGACAACTTCCAAGCTCTTTACATATTGCAGCTCATTCCAAGATAAGAGAAATTCACCACATTCAGGAGGTCAGACATCCAGCATCAGTATTCAAGCACCTGTTTATAGGTGTTTAGACTCAAGGTTTTTTTTATGACTGAAACTGCTGTGAGTATTCCTATATAAGACTTTATGTAGGCATAAGCTTTCATTACTCCTGGGTAAGTACCTGGAGATAACATTGTATTTAACTTTTAAGGAAACTGACAAACTATTTTCCAAAACGGTGATATCATTTTAATTTCCCCCGATAACACATTAGAGTTGTTTGCTCTACATCCTGGCTGACACTTGTACACGTAAAGACCTCTTGAAAGAAGCATATATTCAGATTTTCTATTGTTTCTTACCTACATGTTATTAAAACCATGTACCGGGCCTCCCCGGTGGCACAGCGGTTGAGCGCTGGGTTGCGAAGTTACCCGCGGCCTCTATGGTGCCGGTTCGATCCCCGGTTGCTCCCCGGCTACTGGAGGAGGGTCCCACATGGCACGCAGACCTCTCCTGCTGCCCGCTGCTCCCCTCAGCAGTGTACTTCGGTCCTTCTGCCTGCTCTGCTCCCCGCTCTGGCTCTGGTGAATTCTCTCACCCTCCCGCGCTTCTAACTGTACCCAGTGCATGTATAAACAAACAAACAAACAAATAAATAAATAAAATAAAACCATGTACCTAAGAATTCTGATGATAAAGCAGCAAAAGCAATTAGGCAAAGGCCACATTTAAGACAGAATTTCAAAGCAATATAATCAGTATTATCTTGGTATAAGATGGCTGTAAAATATCTGGGTCCTTTTTAAGAATTCTAGAACATCAGAATTTTAAATTACCCAATGCCAATTCAGTAGCTTTGAAGTTCAATAAGAATTACTGAGTTAATTTTTCTAAAGTCATTCATTTAGCTATTTAAAACCAACCCAGATAAAAGAGATCTTTCATAGACTAGGATTGAATTTTATGAGAGTGAATTAAAGGAAATAACAATTATATTATTAGAAAAAAGTCTGAATAGAAATGGGTTTAGAGACACTCTTTTCTTCTAGGTAGGTTAATAGAAGTCGCCTTTGTCAAGGAGTTGACAATCCCTCCTTTCCTTTCTGTATCACCCTACAGCTGCTGGAGCAGAAATACGAGCTATATAGTGACATCAGAGCCAGAACACTGTCATAGAGTCAATTTCTAGCATTTATTAGTCAAAGCCACCACCCTATCAATCTGGGATTGAATGATGGGCTATGGCTACTCTGCAGCTGCTATACAAGTGTTGATTGTTGCCAGTAAATTCATTTGTTAAAGAAAGTTTAAACTCAAAATCAGGTAGATGTGGTTTCTAGATCTCAGCTGTCATTTATTATTGTGTCTCTTAGTCATGTCATTTAGCCTTTCTAAATGTCATTTCTACATTAATAGTGAAGCAGTAAATTTACCTACCATGCAGGATCTCTGCAAGGATTAAAGGAGATAATGTATTCAAACTCCTCAGCACAGTGCCTGGTTTATAGAACCACTCAACAAATATTAGGCCTATTTTTAGCTTTTTCATAATGGATGATATTACTGGACTTTCCTCCTGGCTTCTAGCTGTACAATAGGAGCTCATTCTGTAGCAGGGACCCTATATCTAGAAGATTTTATCAATAAAATATACTTGCATGAGTCATAGGAGAAACTGTACAAGATGCCAGTTAAGTATTATAAACAATCATGCTATAGACAAGTATTCTTAAAAGAGGGATTCAGGAAATGAGAATAGACATGACATTTATTTAATATTCACCATGTTCCAAACAATATACTACAGACACTAATACAGTCAGTGTTAGGTCCCTTTGTGCTACAGTGTATGTGTAAAGACATTATAAGTAGAT